AAGACCTTGAAGTTCATTTCTAAATGAGCTTAAATCACTTATCCAATAGTTAGACCGACAGCAATTTAAAACATCCTTATAGCATTACACAGTCTTATCCAAAGGAATACTCTGGGTCCAAGCAGGTCAAAAGAATTACTATTTCACTCATCTTTAAGCTAACACTAAAAAAGTTTTAATGCTCCCTCACCTAGAGGGAGCATGTTTCTCTTACCCTTCGCAAATTTTCTTGACTCTGTTTTTCAGTTGATCACCTTGGAAGAAAATAATAAATACAGACTTGTGCACGTAGTCTCCCTAGAACCCAGAAACAAATTAAGATTTTGTAGCTCTAACAGCTGATAGAAAACTTCTAGATAAATTAGTTTCTTTGGTAGATTAAGAAGCAATAAGTTTCATAGTTCCTTCATACACTACACAAGGGCAGCAACCATGTTTGTTAATCATCTCTTGCACCCTTAACAACTCTGCTGAAAAAACATCATTCCCTTTCATTTTTACTTCAGTTGAGTCCTTTTTATGAAGATAACTTCATATTGGGCAAGAGTGTAGGTCCTTAGAGCAGTCTAGCCCAGAAGCTAGGATAATTACTAATCATATCATTTGCCAATTCATTTTACCTGTCTTCACAGTGAAAAAGAAAAGGAGAGGAGGAGTTAATTTCTGCTCATGAGTTTAAATAGTCTCAGATAAGAGATACTGAAAGGCTTCATTATATAAAGCCACTGAGAAGTTAAGAAAAAGATGACCATAAATCACTCAAACTTGACTTCACAAATAAGGCACAAAGCTTAAATAGTTAGGTTATACTCTAATCTAATTATGAGTACTAAAGAAAAATCAGGAAATAAGGTGAGCAGACGCTGAGGAAAGCCCAGGAGTGTTTTAAATCTTTGGGTTCTCCAGGGATATTGAGAGTACATTCTTTGTACAGCTGCTCTGGTACAGATATCCAGACCCCCTTCCTGCATTTGTTGATAAAATATTGTTCTTCCCTGCCAGAGGAAACTTGGCTTAATGTTCCTGAGAATAGTTATATACTAGGTGTGACCTTAAACTCAGCATGAAATGTTTCCAAAACTCAGTAACTGCCTTCAGTGTGGCTGTAATCACCTTTGTGAACCATCTATGTCACCATAACCATAACCATGGTAAAGAAAATAAGTCGCATAAACATCTGGGTCATTTTCAGCTCAGTGATACAGCCTGAAATCTCACTAGATTCAACGTTTCTTCTTCAGAAAAACAAAGATCAATGATTTAATAAATGGTATACTAAGTAGGAGCAGAAAGGTAACAGTTTCAGTGAGGTATAGAGTCATGGGTGTTTTAAAGAGCAGTCAACTCCAGGCTATTCATCTATCTCTGATTAATGATATAATTTTTTTCCTTATGCATTTAACTTGTTTCACTTGTAATAGCAGAAACACACAGTTCTGACCAACTTTGTATTTTGAACTTATTGTTACGTCAAATGCAAGATGAAAACCATATCAAAATACACGAAAGAAAATTACTCAATTTCCCAACCAACTTATTTGTCGAAGTGAGAAACAAAAAAGAAGGGGCAGCTAGGTGGCACAGTGGATAGAGTACCGGCCCTGAAGTCAGGAGGACCTGAGTTCAAATCCAGCCTCAGACCAAAACACTTGACTCGTACTAGTTGTGTGACTCTGGGCAAATCACTTAACCCCAATTACCTTTAAAAAAAAAAAAAAAGAAGTCTTCATCAACTGAACAAAAATGTGGGCTCAAAACAGCTGAAACTATTAACTTTATCAGTTTAGAGTCATAATAGTGCCCTTCGCTTTCTTTTGGAGTTTCTTACAAAACTCAATCCAGTAGAAATAGAAGCACAATTATCAAGTAATTTGAATTGAGTATAATATGCTACCAAATTAGAATTCTTGCATTTTGTTGATTTTATAAAAAGGCAAATTGCTTCAGGTCCCAGATCAGTAACAGAAGATGTATGGAGCTACATCTGAAGTTTCAAATAACTAGAAAAATTTATTTCCAATTAAAACACCTCTGTTGCCATATCCAAACCTCAAAGTTTATAAATACTTTATGTGTGATGGAAATTATAGGGAGATAGACTGCCTTGTGGCTCATATTGAAAATAAAGAAATAAAGATCTCTTCTTTGAGATGGTCCAAGTGTTCTGTTACCATTCTGGGCCCCCTTTACAGAATCCTACTCCACAGGATACAATTTCCTTGTCTTACAGTTACAGGATCCTCCAGGGGGTTTTCAATTTCAGCTTGACGCAGGAACACATTCCCCCGGCACACTCTCCACAGCATGCGCTCAAATGTAGGGATGCGCTCCCGGTTAATCACACCAGCCACAAAGCTGTGAAAGGAAGGAGGAAAAACACAAACAGATTAAGGATATTATTCCATTTTATAGGATGAGTAGCTTTTAGATAATTCAGCAGCTGGGACAAGAGAAGACTAGCTATAGATAGGTAAGAAAGCTGCCAAGGTCTCATTCCTGGCCTTACCCACTACAGGAACCAAGAAGGGGTTGTCAATGTAGCAAATACATGAAGAGGCTAGGGACAGATTCAGGAATGATTCTTTCTCTCTTTTTTTTTTAAAGGAATGATTCTCAATAGATTCATAATGGAGTACCATTCTTGCAACAAGCAGACTCCCTACTATGTAAGTTTTCTAAGATAGAAGAGGAAGAACACACCTTAAATGCAGAGTAGGCAGGTAAGAATGATAATTACCCAAGCCGTAAGGGTGTGCCTCTTCCAATTTCACTTGGGTCCAAGAGGTTTGATGACTCCTCCAACAGGTCTGGATCCGCCATCTGCTGATGATGCAATTCAGCCTGAATTCACAAATCAATTAATATCTAATGAAAATAGTTAGTGGCATGCAGGGGACGAGGAACCAGGAGATGAGTTTGTGAAAAGAAATATGAAAAAAAAAGATACACGCAAAAAGAGATAAATACAACACACAGAAAAGAAGGAAAGAGAACAAAGGGAAAAACAAGAAGTAACACATAACTGTCCCAGCAAGGCACCTGGGGAAATGATTTTAGAGATAAGGAAAGAAGAAAAAATATCACATGACGGTGACATGTATAAATCTTTTATTTGGCAGAAGCCATTTTCCCTCTTTTTCTATTTCCACCAAATAAGTACCAGAGAACACCTTTGCAGAGAAGGTGCTTTTGGGGAGTGATCACGAGTGATATGGGGATCTGCAGCTCTCAAGCTGCACAGGTTTCCTGCTGCTCCCATGCCTACAGTATCACCTATGGCAAACATGGGTTACAGGGAAGCACTGTTCTCAAACACTGTTTTGTTAACAGAAGAAATATCACCAGTTAGCTAAAGAGAGTCCAAGAGCTTCAGGACTCATCAAGTCCTCTGCACTTGTTAGGGAGAGCTTTGGGAAGAGCTGATGAATACTGTGTTTATGCTTCTTAAAGTATCTTTCTCCCATACACAGAGATGGAATACAAAACCTCAAGGCAGTCCTAAAACACAGTAATACCCTTTTACTGTTAGAACATCTGCCCTATGACAGAAATAAGAACTAAAAACTCATAATGATGTTTCCTACCCTGTACTAAGGTATCAAGTTTTGAAACCATAATATGTTCAGAGGCTCATGGAGGTTTTGTAGCTTTGAAGATCCTTGGGCACACAACTTGAGAGAGGACCACTGATTCAAATCAAGTATGTGAAAGTTAAATTAAGAGTAACATAGAAGGAACCACAACATTCAGCTAATAGATTGGTACAATCAATCTCAAAATGAATTGTTACTACAATTTATACAACAAAATGGGAAGATAGATGAAGACTTCCTAGATCTAGACATTCTTTCCATACAGTCAATCCTAGAGCTCTTCATTCCTATCACAAATAAGTTGACCTTAAAATAAAATTATGTATCTGTCTTGACTGCCTATAGTACCAAATACCAATACACATACCCACTCAATCTGTTTGACCCAAAGGCTGGCAGAGGAGAGGGGCAAAAAGGGGATAAGAGTTAAAGAAATCAGAATAATTTTGGATTGTTTTTTTTTTTTTTTAGAGATTTGGTTTTTCCTTTTACAATTAGCTTTATCACAAGTTTGTTGATTTCCACTCAAATTTACTAAATAAGTGGCATGGAAGCCTCAATTTTTAAATCTTATGACTATAACATAGTAAACGGATTTGACATTCCAAAAGGAAAAAAAACCAAGAGTATATAAGTTAATAATATTAGAGGGACTAAAAGTAAAGGAAATCTTTTGAGAACTACATTAGGAAACTAAAGTTATTATCGGTTAAAACTGATTGGTAGGCAGAATTAACATCTTGAGACTTAGGAAGTTAGGGCAATATAATGGTTATAATTTGCCATTTGTATTCAAATGATAAACATGGACTTGGCGTTTTAAATTCTCATCAACTGAATGCCATAAAGCAGAAATTTTTCTTCAAATCAATCTTAAAATGAAAAAGGAAAAAAAACTATGGGACTTGTAATACTAGGTACTGCTCTTTTTTTTTAATTTATGCAGAAGTATCTTGTTTTTTAAATTTAAAAGTTCAACACTGTAACCGTGCCTTGCAAAAGATTCTCAGCAACAACCCTTAGTAAAACCCAGTAAAACTGAATGTTGCTCATACTATTTCTACCACTATTATCCCCCCCTCCTCCACTCCTTTCAGAGAGGACCCATCTCAATCTATACAAAGATATTCTGGTGAAGAAAAAGAATATAGAGAATAGCTGAAGAAATAGGTAACATCACTCAGCAACTGGACTAATCCAACACACTATGTAGGTTGAGGAATAAAAACAACCTATCATGGATCTAAATTGGGATGAACTAGAAATCTAATTATGCTCTAGTCACTGTTTTCACTACCTCTCACTTAATAATCACAAGTCTCCAAACTGGCTTTTAAAAGTTAAAATAAAACACCATGTTTAGTGGAAAATTTGGCTGACCAATACCACTCACTGTGTGTCTTTAAATCTACATCTAAGACAATGTCATACATCTTTAATCTGGAGCCTATCTGGTTCCTTTAATTACAACATTTCTAATGTTATACTCATATTCAGAAGCTGAATCCCCTGATTTACCACTACCCTCAAAGCCAGAAAAAGAAGACAAAGACATCTGAGAATGGTAAGAGTCCAGCAGCGCTGGGATGGCAGCACTTGGCAATATAAGCAGCACATTCAGTTCAAATCCCTTCAGTTTTCAACAGTATATGCTTCCTTCGCCACCAACGTTGAAAAAGGAATGACATACATTTCATCATCTAACTTATTCACCCCATGTGATGATGGATGGGAAAGAAAAATAAAGAAAGCAGATGGAAAGAAAAGTTAGAGAGGAAGGAAGACAGAGATCTGCATGCCATTAACCATTACTTTTCCAGTCTTCTTTATGCTTTCATGTGCTATGGTGCTTATGGGAAAAGATTCAGAGAAATCTCTTCAGCTCTAACTCTTCTTCATAAGCAAGAAGACTGAGAAAAGGATATATCATTAACCGATTACTTTAAATGTTCTGGACAAGAAATGGCTAAATCAAATTTGTAATCACCATAAAGCATAAGAATATTTAATATATACTCATTTTCCCTCTTCCATAGCAGAATGCCTAAAGCAGAATAATCATTCCCTGATTTAGCCATTTCTCTTTAGCTCATTAATGTGAAATATTGTTATACCACAAGTAATTGGGAAACCAATCTGCTAGTGCTATAGCCCATTTGCAAATATTACATTTTCAGGTATGGAAGAAATCTCATGGATCACTCTAAGCCCATCAAGCTTTCAAGAACCCATAAAGCTCATTTTTCTAATGCACTCTTTAAACTACACTCCCTGTCTTCTCTTTAGCGGGTCTTTGTTTTTCATTAGTGTGAGATAGCAGTAGGCAAAGGACTTTACTGACAGCTTTGACTGACCCATCATAGGCCAGGTACCACAATGGAGCTGGGGACAAATACAGGTGAGGTATTATCTGCCCAATTAGTGTAGCTCTCACCAAAAGGATGTCTTTTGTTACTCTGAAAACACTAAGAACCAAAGAGAGATTATTAAAGTGTTTGGGGAATTTTTACCACAGCTAAGACACCATGCTATACAGCACTTCCTACAAACAAAGGACAGTTTTTTGTTTGTTTGTTTTTGTGGTTTAAGAAAAAAAAAAGGGGTCACTTTTGATAATGTATTAAGAAGACTTTAGAATCCCCTATCTCCCATGATTTATGTTTAATGCTGAGGACTATTAAATCACTTAATTAAAATGATTTAATGACTTTTTTTTGGCAGTCTTTCAAAGCTTTTGCCTTTATTTCACAGTGATGCTAAGGCAGTGACCATACACTGGAAAAGTAAATGAATAAAGTATTTATTAAGTGCTTACTATTTGCCAGGTGTTAGGTAAGTCAGATTAAATGAACTAAGCATACCTGTTGCAAAAGGACTTACACATTAGGAGAGAGGTTATCTCACTGTTCCTCACCCTTTTAAAAATGCAATGATTTATGGGATTGGTGAAAGAAATTATCATCAACTTCAAAAGCTCACAAGTCCATGAGCAAGCTGCATAATCACAACTAAACCTTAATTAATATAAAACCAGGCTCTGCCTCACAGAAACAAGAGGCACTTAAATTTCAGAGTCTTTCTCATAACATTAAGAAGGTCCAACTTGAGCCAAAACCCTCTGCTACAATGAGGAATGTATCACATCTAGAGCAAACTTTCTGTGCTCTAGACAGAACTGGAAAGCCCATTTCTCTCTCCAAGAGAGAAGTGAAAAGCAGAACTCAAAATACATGAACTCAAAATATGTTGGTTGCTGATGTTAAAGTTCTAAATTTAAATACTTTGCTAAGTTCCTTATGGGGCACAGGTGGTTCAAAAGAGAAACACCACTCAAGGAAAATTCTTTTGTAAGACATACAAACAGGGTGACTAGAATAGTTTATGAAACATTTTTGCCTTAGCCGATGTCAGGAAGACCTGCAGGGCAAGGTCATTTACCATGTTTCAGGTTACTAGAGAAACAGTATCCATACTGGATGTGAAGACTACCCATAGGGCAGATTAGGAGGCTAGCAACACTTTCAAAAATTCTTATTCTGAATTCTTTCCAATATTTTTTTCAGCAAGCTGTCACCTGGTAACTCAGTTACCTACATTTTTAACATAAGGATTTTTTTTTTCCATCTCCCCCCTAAGCTAATATAATAAAGTTTTTGGGAGATTCTGGAGTCAGAAAATCATCAACTGAAGTTGTCATGCTAACTACAAACACACCCTTTTCAAAACTTCCAGATATTTTGAGTTCTCACACGCCCTAAAGAAAAATACTTGTGAAATTCAATACATGAGTACAATAACTGTAAACTTTCCAAGTTGAGAAGGGAGCACAGAATATAATAATTGAAGTTTTGGTGGAAGAGAGACAAGCAAAGGGTAAAAAGTTATGGATTAAGAAAAATTACACTGTTTTACCTACATGTTGTAACCAACCTTTCTTTATTTTCTGAGCCCTAACCTTATCTGAATACTTACCTTAAAAAATATGTATGTGAATTTTTCAGGGAATGGCATCCACTACTATTCTAAATATCCCCATCCCAATCTGATATGAAAAACTGCAAAAAAAAAAAAAATCCAAAAAACATGGTTGGCTGTGCACTGCATGAAAAATGGAACATAATTTGAGGTTTCTCCAACTAAAATGAGGTGTAAAAAAATGGCACTGCTTTCAAGACAGCAACTGAAAATAATCATTAGAATAAAATATGGCCCACTTGTGGCAGGTAAAACATCAGCTGCTCAAAGAAACAAACAATAGTCTGACCTCATCAAAAAACTGCTGAGTTTTGCGTAGTATAAATTTTAATTCCGTCAGTTCCAGGAAGTTTCTCTTCAAAGCTTCCTGGTTTGTGTTGATTTCTTTCAGTTCATTTTCAATCTTTTCAAAGTTTGCCTAGGAAGAAAAGGGGCATGTTAACTCACCACTAAAATCAGTATGTTTGCCGTGTGTGTTCAATGGGATTCAGTCCTATATAATAACAGTCTCCATCGTCATTTCAAAGTTGTCCTGCGTCTACTCTCAAAATACTGACATTTCAACTAACATAATTCTCTTTAAGGGAAGACTAATGTTTAAAATCCTTTCACTTGACCTGTAGATCAAGTGCAGCCAGTTCTCGATGAACATAAATGGACCTTTCCGTAGACCTTCTCATGCCCTCTTGGGGCTCCACGTGACCCTGCCCCCTCTGCAGCTCTTGGGCTGCCTGCTTCCTCAATGAGCAGAGGACCCCCAGTCTAGAGCTGCACTGTTGCCACTCCCATTGTGCTCCTGCTGGGGAGTTGGATTTGCATAATATGAATTTATGCAATGCAAGAACTGTCTATATCTACTTAGTAAGCTCAATAGACTACACATGTATATCATTAACACTAACTGATATTTTGGCTGTTTGTTCACAGGAGGTGAGAGTTATTTAACAGGAATGAGCATTTTATACATCATTACATCCATTAATCAACGGATATTGATTTAGCTATACATGAATTCTGCATCAGACACCACACAGATCAAGTTAAATATCAGGCCTGGCCTCAAGAAGCTTACTATCTAAATACCACATAGACAAGGAAAGACTGAGATTTCCTTTCCCCAATAATATCTGTGGACAGCCAGAAGAAACTTAACTAACCTTCCCAAAAGATTGCTTACCTCTAGGTCAATCATGTCCCGGGGGAAAGGCACCTCTGGGTTTTCACCTGTGTCCATGATAGGGATATTAGCTTTTCTTATCTCCTTCTCAACAAACCCTAAAATGATAGAATCAGAACATTTGTTTGCCCATCTGCATATACCTGGCATAGGTAATATTTAAGCACAAATCAAAAGGACTTTAAGAAGTTTCTGATGATGCTTTGATTCAACAGAAGTGGGAAATGAAAATCAGTTTCTTCTTCACATTCTTCTCCTGCTACAAAAGCTCCATTGCAGCACAGCCAACTCTCTTTAACCACAACAGGTATTTAATCCACATCCTGTTACCTCAGATGCATTTTCTACCTTTTGTGGAACAGAACCCATATAAAATATAAAAATACCATAACCATCAAAAGAATCAGTAAGACTGAACCTTTAAGTAGAATAAAAAGAACACTGAGTATGGTGTCAGAAGATCTGTTGCCAAGCCCTGGACACTAACTAGTCGTGTGACTAATGGGCAAGCCAAAGCCTCTGAACTTCAGTTTCTTCGTTATAAATGAAAATAATAATACTTGCATTAACTAGTTTTAAGGGCTGATGTGAGGAAAGAGCTTTCTAAACCATCAAGTGGTAAATGTAAGCTATTATTGACCTGTGTAAATCTCACCTAAATGTAAGATTATTCCAGCTTACCAATATTGTTCAGAGAATCAGATTCAAGAAAAAATGTTTACTGTAATAAAGTCCTTAATACATATGGCAGAAAACAGATCCATACAGAAAGAGTATCAATCAATTTGAAAATTAAGTTGGTCAGTTATGTGCATTTAAACATCAGACCAAAAGGAAAAAAGGGCTGTTAAAAAAAAAAGAATTAAAAAATCAAAACAAAAGCAATGTTTGTTCAGTTCTCAGAGCTGTCTACTGAAATTTAAGGACGGAGCATGAATAGACAGAGTAACAGACAGGAAGAGCAATACACTAATATTAAAACTAACATTAAACTAATATTAAAAAGATATTCTACCACCTAAAATTCATGGTAAACTTTGTCCAGTAAATGACTGCATAATATGCGGTTAGATTTACAGAATTCCAGGAGATACTAGACTTATCTGAGACTTCTACACTGTCCTCTGCACAATGACAAAGTAGCTTAGCAGTATTTGAGTGTTATATTCTCAGAAGCATGATATCTATTAAGGAATATACATACTTGTCATATATAACCGAACACAAATATGTTCTAAATATGATACTCAAGAAAATGATGAGAATTTCTCTTTTGAGGTGGGGAAGGGCTAATGTCTTCTTTTGTTATACCAGACTACTCTTTTTTTTTCTTTCTTTCTTTCTTTCTTTTTTTTTTTTTGGCAATTAGGTTTAAGTGACTTGCCCAGGGTCACATAGCTAGTAAGTGAAGCCAAATTTGAACCCTGGTCCTCCTGACTCCAAGGCTGGTGTTCTATCCATTGTGCCACCTCACTGTCCCCAGACTATTCTTTAAAGATAAAATAATTTACTTAAAGAATTATTAAGACAAGCCAAGATGACACATACGGAGTTTACGATCCATTTCTTCACATCTCCGAACTTCATTGACAAATTTTCGTTGGAATACATTCACATCTGGATTTAACTGAAAGACAAGAACACAAAAGAGAAATAAACAGTCAAATATTGTACATGTTAGCCCTCAAATTCTCAAGTGGTACATATCCTGGAAAAAATGAAAAACCATCTTGGGTCAAGATAGTATGATTTACCAATCAAAATCTTCTACTAAAACATGAAATACTGGAGCCAGCCATAACAATTAAAGATAAAACTCATCTTTCCTCACGGCAGCAATGTGGCAAAAAAACAAAAAACAAAAAACAAAAAAAACCACCTCATGGCATGTAATGTTTTACCTAGCCTACCATCTTCCAATTCAAAGGTCACAATGACCATAAAAATGTAGGCCACTAACTTAAACTAGGTTTCTTTTCCTTTCCTTCATTCCCCCTTATGCAGAAACAGTGAGAGGAAACTATTGATATAAAGAGAAGTGCAAATGCACACTTATTAAATTGGCAAAGATGATTAAAGGCAGGAGAAGTCAGGGTTGGAGGTGCAGTGGGAAGACAGACATGCTCATACTATTAGTGGAGATGTGAATTGGTCCAATTACTCTGGAAAATGATGTAGAATTATTTCAGAAAAATCATTTAGACGTTCATATCTTTTCACTTCTTGTGGTAGCAAAAAACCAGAAAGAAAGTAGGTGCCATGGGACATTTAAGGAGGAGTAAAAAGGTTGGGAAGCACTGCTGTGGTGAGTGGGAGAGTGAGTTAATTAGAGAGGTAGCAGAGGATTGCCTGGCAGCAGTGAGATCCCAGGTGAGGTTATGTAACAAATTTGCAGTGGACCTAGTCAGCAGTTTCATGATTTTCTCCTCTCTCCTACACACTGCTACTAAATGTGTGTAGGAGTGAAAGTAGTAGAAGGATGGTGAGAGTGATCGAAAACTAAGGCTTAAGAGACTAAGACTGGAAGGAGGCAAGGGACTTACCAAGAGAAGAGGACAATGTAGAGTTGAAGTGGTTCAACAAGGGGAAAGAGGGGAAAGAGAGGCAATGCGTGGACAAAGAACAGCCTGTGGTTTTGGAAAGCAAAAGGAGAGGTGGCATGCAATAGACTGTGATCATATAAGGGAATTTCAGAGTTAATGAACATGGAAGCGGTACATTTGTGGGTGATGGCAAGATCAAGGGTATGATCATTTTTGTGTATGGCTGACATGGGGTGGAAGGAAATGAGTAAGTTGAGGAATTGGGAAGTTGGGTTATTTGAGGAAATATCAGTATATGTGTTGAAAACTCTTAGTAAGAGGTAAGAAGTTGGTGAGAACTGAAAGACTGTGAGCCAGGTACTGAATTCATTGAGGAAAGAAAGGAAGCATCCTGGAGGTTGACATACAATAGCCATGGGGAGAAGTTACTGAGTAATGGTGGTAGGAGAACCTGGGAATGGCAATGGGGAGCAAGGATTATTCTAACTCCCCCACCTCAACCAATGGGGAAGAGGAGATGTGAGTAAAAGTGCAGCCAGTACTGGAAAGGGCAGCTAGGGAGGAAATGAAACTTTAAACAGTAGGGGACCAGATTTGAAAAGCCCATTGTCCTGTCCCAGTGGCTTAAACTTCCAAGTAGAGAGGTCATTTCATCTGACATTTAAGTATTAGAAAAATTCAATTCAACAAACATGTAAGTCCTTATTATATACTAGGTACTGGGGATACAAAGATGAAAAAAGGATATTTCTTCCTACCTTTAAGGAGTTTACAGTCTAAAAAGGTGAAGAGGGTTATTCAAACAACTCTAAAAAAAATAGAATGTGGTCAGTGAAAAGGATAGGTGTATGCTATAAGAAATGAGGAGAGAGGAGAATCTGGATGGGAAACAATCAGAGAAGGCTTCATGGAAAAGTCAGCACCTAAGTTTGCCTTACAGAAAGGGAGGGATTTCAACAGGCAGAAACTTAGTTTAGTGGGGTGGAGAATTAATTTCAAGTATGAACAAAGGCATGTCAGTGAGAAAGAAAAGGAGGATAAGAGTAGAGGGTGATAGTTTTGCTACAAAATGGGTTATAGGAAAAGGGGTAATAATGTAGCTTGTGAGGACAGGGATGTTGGAACCTTGTAGACAGGACTGGCAACTGATTGGCTGTAGGGAGTTAGGAAGAGGAAAAGTAAAAGATGACCTTGAAGTTTCAAGACATGGTTACTGGGAACTCATTGTAGAAATGGTTCAGTCAACAATTGTAGGATTCTAGGGTTAAGACGTTGAAGTCAGGGCAGGCTCTGGGAGGGAAGATGAGTTCAGTTTTAGACAGGTTGAGTTTAAGATACTTGCTGGACATCTTGAAGGCAGTTAAAGATATGGGACTTGGAGGTCTGGGGAAAGGTCCGAGCTGGATTTGTAGAATTGGATTTGTAGAATTGGCAGTCATAGAGGTGATAACTGGAGC